TCCCTACCTCCAAGGTCACCACTAGCACTCTCCCTCCCTCCAAGGTCACCACTAGCTCTCTCCCTCCAAGGTCACCACTAGCTCCCTCTCTCCCTCCAAGGTCACCACTAGTACTCTCCCTCCCTCCAAGGTCACCACTAGCTCTCTCTCTCTCCCTCCAAGGTCACCTCTAGCTCTCTCCCTCCCTCTAAGGTCACCACTAGCTCCCTCCCCCCAAGGTCACCACTAGCTCTCTCTATCCCTCCAAGGTCACCACTAGCTCTCTCCCTCCCTCCAAGGTCACCACTAGCTCTCTCCCTCCCTCCAAGGTCACCTCTAGCTCTCTCCCTCCCTCTAAGGTCACCACTAGCTCCCTCCCCCCAAGGTCACCACTAGCTCTCTCTATCCCTCCAAGGTCACCACTAGCTCTCTCCCTCCCTCCAAGGTCACCACTAGCTCTCTCCCTCCCTCCAAGGTCACCACTAGCTCTCTCCCTCCCTCCAAGGTCACCACTAGCTCCCTCCCTCCCTCCAAGGTCACCACTAACTCCCTCTAAGGTCACCACTAGTTCTCTCCCTCCCTCCAAGGTCACCACTATCTCCCTCCATCCCTCGAAGGTCACCACTAACTCCCTGTAAGGTCACCACTAGCTCTCTCCATCCCTCTAAAGTCACCGCTCGGTTCCTCCCTCCCTCCAAGGTCACCACTAGCTCCCTCCCTCCAAGGTCACCACTACCTCCCTCCCTCGTCCCTAAAGTCACCACTTCCTTTAGCAGAATGTTAAGAGGACGGGCTGGTTGTACACCAATAGTCAGGGGTACATTTCCAGATAAATATATATTTGCTCAAATTGAAAGCTCAATTCAGTTTCAGTTACATTAAGTTTCATACACTCTTTGAGCTGAAACAATTCACACCCAAGGCTATGTTAATGGTTCTTAATAGAGCAAGAGGGCAGGATGTCACAAGTTTCTTGTAAATCCTCATTTTTCAATTGAAAAATACTTGACAAGAATGCAAACTTTTTAGGATAATTTTTGAGTAAAGATCCATCCGTATAGTCAATCAGTGCCCCAGTTAGAAGGGGAGGGGAACTATCAGGGGAAAGAGCCAAGCAATTTAACAGTCTCCGTGGTGTAGTGGTAAGACACTCGCCTGGCGTTCCGCGAGCGCTATGTCATGGGTTCGTATCCTGGCCGGGGAGGATTTACTGGGCGCAATTCCTTAACTGTAGCCTCTGTTTAACGCAACAGTAAAATGTGTACTTGGATGAAAAAACGATTCTTCGCGGCAGGGGATAGTATTCCAGGGACCATAGGATTAAGGACTTGCCCGAAACGCTACGCGTACTAGTGGCTGTACAAGAATGTAACAACTCTTGTATATATCTCAAAAAAAAAAAAAAATTACGACTGTATAGCACATGGAAGGGGGTCAGGATAAGGATTTGGGATGGGGCGGAGGAAAGGAATGGTGCCCAACCACTTGGACGGTCGGGAACAAACAAGGATAGCAAGTGGTTTATCTACCGAACCTCATGCCCCAGTTTTGTTTCCCAATTAAACAAAATTTCCACGCAACACTCAAATATTATCTAGCTTGTTTTACACTGAAACAAGTAATCAAAGATTACTTCCAATCTCAGGTCTAGTTTAGGCTTAGGAAAGTTGAGACACGGTTGTTAGCGCCTTTCTGGTGCTCTATACTACAGCTCGTCCTCGCATACAAAGATCCAAGCTCGTTAATCCAGCCGCCAAACTTCCTGTTTATGAATGAAGAGCAGTTTACACACGACTCCCTACAACTGATGACGTCCGAACACTTCCGGAACAAGTGCTTCGCTCACGTCCTCTGTTCGAACAACACTCCACTACACCCAGCCCGTCCTCCAAACAAAGATCCAAAAGTGATTCCATGCACCCGCCAAACCCCCTGTTTATGAATGAAAAGCGGTTTACACACAACTCACAACTGCTGACGTTCGAACATATCCGGAACAAGTGCTTCACTGACGAATTTTGTTCGAACCACAACGCTATAAATGCTTCACCCACGTACTACAAATGCAAATAATCGCCAACCGAACCTAAACACCTAACCTAACCTAACCTAACCTATATATGCACAATATGCTCATATATTATAATATTAATTTATACTTAAGAAAATTCCCGTTTTGAATGAACATCATGTTAAAATTTATGAATGCGTCTGTGGGGTTGACCGCTGAATGTAATGGACTTGAGTCGAGGACGGGTTGCGGGTTGTACACCGTGCAGTGGTAAGACACTCGCCTGGCGTTCCGTGAGCGCTTTGTCATGGGTTCGTATCCTGGCCGGGGAGGATTTACTGGGCGCAAAATCCTTAACTGTAGCCTCTGTTTAACTCAACAGTAAAATGTGTACTTGGTTGTAAAAACGATTCTTCGTGGGGGGTGGGGGGGGGGGTCGTATTCCAGGGACCTGCCCGAAACGCTACGCGTACTAGTGGCTGTACAAGAATGTAACAACTCTAGTATATATTTAAAAAAAATCTATAAACAGCCCGTCCTCCAAACAAAGACCCAAAAGTGATTCCATCCACCAGCCAAACCCCAGCTGTTTATCAATGAAAAACGGCTTACACACAACTCACAACTGATGACGTCCGAACACTTCCAGAACAAGTGCTTCACTTACGACTTTTGTTCGAACCACAACGCTGTAAATGCTTCGCCCACGTACTACAAATACAAATAATCGCCAACAGAACCTAAACACCTAACCTAACAATATATATAGAATTTTTATGTATAATAATATTAATTTATATATGAGAACAAACCAATTTTTAATACACCGTATGTTAAAATTTATGAATTCGTCTGGGGAGGACGGCCGCTGCTTTAACCAGCCTGGTGGGAAGACGAGTTGTATACTATTATAATAATAATATGAAACGTGGCACATTTCGGTTCACGAAGCGTGGCACATTTTGAGTACAAAACGAGGCACATTTTGCGTACAAAGAAAGCATTGTATATGTTGGGCACAACAATATGTTTTTGTATAGTGTTTTAGTTTAGTTCATTTATTATGCACCCCATACCCATGTTGTGGGCGGTAGTGGAAAGGGTTACAGAGGCACATAATGGGCTCAGGGACTGAACCCCACAATTCATTTAGCTAAGCAAGTTACAATCTTGATGAGCTAGTTACAAAATTAAATACAAGTCATCACATCAACAATGGGTTCGAGATCGACCTCAAGTACAGGTTCTAAATTAAGCAACTGACATATGTGGAGAGCTAGTGTCAAAATTTATATGTTTGTCCTGCACACCGCCCCCCATCCAGTGGGCAGCGGTGGATAGGTTACACCGCCCCCCATCCAGTGGGCAGCCGTGGATAGGTTACACCGCCCCCCATCCAGTGGGCAGCGGTGGATAGGTTACACCGCCCCCCATCCAGTGGGCAGCGGTGGATAGGTTACACCGCCCCCCATCCAGTGGGCAGCGGTGGATAGGTTACACCGCCCCCCATCCAGTGGGCAGCGGTGGATAGGTTACACCGCCCCCCATCCAGTGGGCAGCGGTGGATAGGTTACACCGCCCCCCATCCAGTGGGCAGCAGTGGATAGGTTACACCGCCCCCCCTCCCTCCCCATCCAGTGGGCAGCGGTGGATAGGTTACAATCACTTAGTTATTACCTACAGTTAGCAAACTGGGGATATTTGGCTAAAATTTCTGGTAGCAGATCATTTTGAATGAAATATTGACACATCGCTGGAACATTGTATAGTCCACCAAATACGCCAACTTTTGGCTGACAGGTTGGAAAAGTTGCCTCACTAAATCGCTCACTCTAACTTCATAATGTGCGAATTATTACAGTATTTTGTTACTCGTGCCCAATCAAGAACTGTCTGAATGTCTTGGACGTGACTCCAAGACATATACGCCGCTCAGACATAATGTGTAGTTGGCCGGGCGGGACTGTACCATGGCTAAAATTAACACGGTATTCTGCAGCCGCCTCCGGTGTTCCTGCAGCCTAGTCACACACACGCACACACGCAAGCAAGCACGCACGCATGCGCGTCACTCGCACATTATCTGCATGTCTGTTTTCCCTCATAGACACTTGAACGAATTTGAGAGGATGGATGGATGCGGCGAGAGAGATCGCAGGATGGTTAAATCTGTGTCAGAGGTATATACAATATTTTGATAATTCCTCCCTATAAACAAAATGTTGTTCATGTTTCTTTCAAAGCCCTCCACATATATAATCATGCTTAGTTTTCATTAAATGCTAATGCACTATATTGAACTTATTCCCATAAGAATTCTCCTTTAAGAATTCTTGTTTTCATCAATGATGTGACATCAATGGTATTATTTCTATAAAACCACGTTATTGTGTTGTGTGAAGGAACAATATCTAGTATCACTATATTATCATCGTCTAGGGTTACTAGGAGCTACCTCTTATGGGCCAGTAGGCCTACTGCAGCTACTTTTAGTCATCATATAGTTTATACTATTACTCCAAGGATGGGGTTATGTTTCCTTGGTTTAAAAGTCAATGTAGACATTACGACTTGCAGACTTGTGAAGGAAAGATTCGGTGGGCCTGCGGGCCGCTCCAAGCAACAGCCTGGTGAACCAAACTCTCACAAGTCGAGTCTGGCCTCGGGCCGGACTTGGGGAGTAGAAGAACTCCCACAACCCCATCAAGCAGGAAGGTTTACCTGCGTTAGGTTTCATCACCAATTTAAGTCTCTACTTAAACCAACTCTTATAGTTAGTTTCATAAATACTTGCATTTGTATTTAATAAATACTCATATGAACATGGAAAGTTTGCAACCCTAGATTATTAGTGTTATTGCCATAGCAGTGATTCATAAGTCTTAAAACTGTTTAGTGCAGACTAAGCCGCCTTGATCGAGGAAAGATGTACGGGTTTGGTATATGGACAGGTGTTTGATGAATGTATTGTGAGTGAAATGTGTACTAGAGGAGCCCGCAGAACACTTACCGAACTCAGCAATACAGGCAGACACGCCCCCGTAGATGAATGGGCGCCAGTCGCTGCGGCCCATCCCACGTTAGCACAGCCTGCAAATGTAAACACTCGCATATTACCTTGGCGTAATTGTGTACACACACACACACACACACACACACACACACACACACACACACACACACACACACACACACACACACACACACACACACATCACACAATTTTTCAAGGAGTGTGATAGACAGGAGGCACTGAACTACATGCCAGTGTCCCTAACCTGCATACCATGCAAGCTTATAGAGAAGCTTGTGCGAAAAAAGCTAATGGAACATCTGGAATGAAAGAACTTTGAAACATAACATCAGTAAGGGTTCAGGGATGACAAGTCCTGCCTCACAGGATTAATTGAATTCTATGACCAGGCAACAAAAATCAGGTCAGCTATCTCACCCTGTCAGAGGAAAAAGAGACAAATGTATGTGAATGCATGTGTGTGTATATATGCATGTATATATGTATATGTACGTATATATGTGTGTGTATGTATATGTATGTGTATAAAGTACATATGGAAGCTGATCAGAATTGCATTTCACCTTTGTAAATGCACATTAATGATACTTCGATCACTTTATGTAGGGCATACGTAAATCTATGTATCTATGTATTTACGTATGTAGGTTAGCATAGCATTTTAAAAGTACCGAATCACCTTCTGTGGTTGATTGTTCAATAAATCCCTGAACTATATGTTTAACTGATCTCTAACCCTGTCCATGGAGGACAGAAGAAAATGTATATATGCTGGTTAGCATTGTAAATGTGTGGCCACGTCTGTGGTAGAAAGTAATAAAAAAAAAATCAGACAAGAGAGGGGTGGGCAGACCTGCATATTTTTTGACTGCCAGAAAGCCTTTGACACAGTACCACACAGGAGACTAGTGCAAAAGCTGGAGATGAAGGCAGGAGTGAGAGGGAAGGTACTCCATTGGATAAGAGAGTACCTAAGCGACAGTAGACAGTCACTGTGAGGTGGAAGGTTTCGGAGTGGCGAGACGTTACCAGTGGAGTCCCACAGGGATCAGTTCTTGGACCTATGCCGTTCCTGATATATGTAAATGATCTCCCAGAGGGGAATAGACTCCTTCCTTTCAATGTTTGCGGATGATGCAAAAATTATGAGGAGGATTAGAACGGAGAAAATAGTATGAGGCTACAAGATGACCTAAACAATCTTTCAGAACCTTGTACACCACATATGTAAGGCCAATCCTGGAGAATACAGCCCCAGCATGGAGCCCGTACGTTGTCAAGCACAAGATGAAGCTGGAAAAAGTTCAGAGGTATGCCACTAGGCTAGTTCCAGAGCCAAGATGCATGAGTTATGAGGAAAGGCTGCGTGAACTGCACCTCACATCGCTGGAAGACAGAAGAGCTCGGGGAGACATGATCACCACATACAAAATTCTAAGAGGAATTTACAGGGTAGACAAGGATGGATTAACACGGGTGAACAACGCACATGAAGACACAGGTGGAAGCTGAGTACCCAAAAGGGCCGCAGAGACATTAGAAAGACCTTTTTCAGTATCAGTAGTTAGTAAATGGAATGCACTGGGAAGTGATGTGGAGGCTGACTCCATACACAGTTTCAAATGTAGATATGAAAGCTCCAGAAGCTCAGGAATGTATACACCAGTAGATTGACGGTTGGGAGGCGGGACCAAAGAGCCAAGGCTCAACCCCAGCCAGCACAACTAGGTGAGTACATGGGGTTTCTGTGTCGAATGGGGCTTCCCGGCTGAGTTCACAGCGCTCTGGGGTCGTAGTCCTAAGGGCCCGGGTTCGATCCCCGGCAGAGGCAGAAACAAATGAGGTTTCTTTCATCCTGGTGCCCCTGTTCACCTAGCAGTAAATAGGTACCTGGTAGTTAGACAGCTGCTACATGCTGCTTCCTGGGAATGTGTGTGTGTGTGTGTGTGTGTGTGTGTGTGTGTGTGTGTGTGTGTGTGTGTGTGTGTTAGAGAGAAATATATGTAGTAGACATAATAGAGGAAAACTAGATTGGTTAGAAAGGCGGGGTCCAAGAGCTAAATAGCTCGATTCTGCATACACAAATAGTTAATACACACATTCACACTAGGCAGTGTTGTGGTGGAGGCTGACTCCATACACAGTTTCAAATATAGGTATGACAGAGCCCAGTAGGCTCAGGAACCTGTACTCTGGTTGATTGACAGTTGAGAGGCGGGACCAAAGAGCCAGAGCTCAAACCCCACAAGCACAACAAGGTGTATACACAAACCGTTAAACCCCACCACTCTAACCCGTAATGTCCTCATTATAATGCACTAACCCCGGAGTAACATGACTCTGAAGGCATAACAATTGAAGTAAGTGACCTTGGAGTGGCTCACACAAGACACCCCGGGTATAACAGCATATACCTGGCTTTATAATGGTATAAGGTTAACACCCAATGGAGACGACGGCCTCCTAATTTAACTTAATACATATTAATACACACACACGATATATATATATATATATATATATATATATATATATATATATATATATATATATATATATATATATATATATATATATATATATATATATATATATGACAATGTCAGACCACGGAGGAAAAATGAAACAGGAAATTTCCTTAAGTACTTTCGTATATTAAATACATCTTCAGAAGGTCCTTCTGAAGATGTATTTAATATACGAAAGTACTTAAGGAAATTTCCTGTTTCATTTTTCCTCCGTGGTCTGACATTGTCACATTCTTAATCACGTGTTTATTTTCGTGATATACACACACACACACATATATATATATATATATATATATATATATATATATATATATATATATATATATATATATATATATATATATATATATATATATATATATATATATATATATATATATATATATATATATATATATATATATATATATATATATATATATATATATATATATATATATATTAATTTATTTATTTATTTATATACAAGAAGGTACATTGGGTTTGTAGTATTTACAATCTTGTAAAGCTACTAGAATAGAGGGGTAGAAATAGCCTAAGCTACTCTATCCCTTTGAGATGTATTTATTGCTTATCTCAATAAACATACTTGAACTTGAAAGCTACTAGTACGCGCAGCATTTCGGGCAGGTCCTTAATCTAACAGATAATTTAATATATAATTATAATTATATATTATTAATTAGATTAATTAGATAATTATATATATATATATATATATATATATATATATATATATATATATATATATATATATATATAATGTGAGAGAGAGAGGGGGAGGGATGGGGAGGGGGGTGGGAGGGGCCATCACCCTAGCCGCCGTCTGGGGCTCTCTCCGCTCTCCGGCGGCCGGATAAAACATCACAATATTTCCTCTACACCGAACACAAACACTCCCCCCCCCCAACATCAACATCCGGATAACCCTCCACAAGTTCCGTATCCGACACACGCGGCCGGATAAAAGCACTAGATAATAATCACAGTTTCGAAATATTCACTCCAGGAAATATTTTCTCATTCCACCGTACGCGGCGTAAACTACATATTTGAGGCAGCCAGCCTCCAAGACGGCACAGAAAGTGCGGCTGTCTGCAGGGAGGCGTCTAAGATGCTGGCTCTCACCTTGGGAGGAAATGTGGAACCACGAAAAATGATTCAGTAAATAGCGGAGAGCAGAGGCGACGCGTACTACTGCTACGAGCGGCCAGAGGTGACTGGCTGGCCTCCGGCGACGATGCTCATCTGGCTGGCTCGGATGCCATCAACCGCCATGACACCGTCAACACAACAATCTGTCTTACTACATCAAAAATCAAGATTTTAGAAGATAATTCCACTTATCCTCGGCCAATACGGTCCGCCCACTTACACACTGGAAGACGGGCGAGGTTTAATTACCCAGAATTACGTTAATATGTATAATCAATTATCAAACAAAGAGCTTTGTAAACATTGCCGCAGCGCGCAGGCACTGGAACAAATATTTCAAGAATTTTCGATTAACTTTCAGAACTTGATGATGATAAACAATTGTTATTGAACTAATGTTCAAAATAGCTAGAGTGAACATTATTTATGACATTAGTGGTCAACTGTGACACAATGTGGCTCTCATCAACACTCTTGTTGCACACATCAACAAGATGGCCGCACTCCCTTAGAGTCAGTGATTGATAATTGCTTTCCATTTACCCGGGCTGTAGAGGACTCGAACCCCGGACCCCTCGCGTGTGAGACCCAAGCTCACACAGCTAATGTATATTTCCAGGGACGTGTGGATGACACATGACATCCACACTACTCCCAGGGACGTGTGGATGACACATGACATCCACACTACTCCCAGGGACGTGTGGATGACACATGGCATCCACACTACTCCCAGGGACGTGTGGATGACACATGGCATCCACACTACTCCCAGGGACGTGTGGATGACACGTGGCATCCACACTACTCCCAGGGACGTGTGGATGACACGTGACATCCACACTACTCCCAGGGACGTGTGGATGACACGTGACATCCACACTATTCCCAGGGACGTGTAGATGACACATGACATCCACACTACTCCCAGGGACGTGTGGATGATACATGACATCCACACTACTCCCAGGGACGTGTGGATGACACATGCCATCCACACTACTCTCAGGGACGAGTGGATGACACATGACATCCACACTACTCCCAGGGACGTGTGGATGACACATGACATCCACACTACTCTCAGGAACGTGGGGATGACACATGACATCCACACTACTCTCAGGGACGTGTGGATGACACATGACATCCACACTACTCCCAGGGACGTGTGGATGACACATGACATCCACACTACTCTCAGGGACGTGTGGATGACACATGACATCCACACTACTCTCAGGGACGTGTGGATGACACATGACATCCACACTACTCCCAGGGACGTGTGGATGACACATGACATCCACACTACTCTCAGGGACGTGTGGATGACACATGACATCCACACTACTCTCAGGGACGTGTGGATGACACATGACATCCACACTACTCCCAGGAACGTGTGGATGACACGTGACATCCACACTACTCCCAGGGACGTGTGGATGACACATGACATCCACACTACTCTCAGGGACGTAGACCAGGCCTCCTTTATGTTACACATCTCCAGGAAGCAGCCCGTAACAGCTGTCTATCTCCCAGGTACGTATTTACTGTTGGGTAAACAGGCGCATCAGGGTGATAGAAATTCTGCCTGTTACGAACCCTTCGTAACCGGGTTCTTTAAAACTCTGATCTTACTCAAGTTCAGAGAACCCTAATCTAGGTGGGAATATAGTGTAATGTTTAAAGGTAAAATGAAAAGAATGACACTTAAAATAACCCATAGTTATTTCTTATCACCATTATAACATACAAGAGAATGCGTTACTAGCCCTTCGCTCGCCGGCTTCACGGATGACGACCACAATATGCCTCTGACGAGGTCTTCGATGTTGCACGTCCGTTGCACACTCGCTGGGACAATCAATCAGTAAAATCAGCTACACTCACCTAGCCCCTCGGGCTAGCACCTCCAGGAGTGAAGTCTACAGCGCTCAGCCGCAGCGCTCCGATAGCTAGCACGTCATGTCAACAATACAATAGTCTTACCACGATGATGAAATGCTATGCCGTTCTCCTAAAAAGGCTATGCGGCTATTAAAGAAAACAAAAATTTCATGGCAAACATTGGTAAACTATCCCAAAGTTGATCGGATAGAAAATAGATTTTATACAAATATTTTTTCTCGTGTCTCGTAGGCGAGTCCGTCACGCGCACTCCAGAGGAAAGTTGGTTACGCCTCCAGGAGTAACTGATGCGCGAAAGTGATAATTAATAATTAAATTAACTTAAATTAAGTCCACCCAAGTCTTCCACTGTCCCGACTTCACTGACTTCCCTCCCTCGTGGGTGGTTGGTCGTCACCTTGCAGCACACCGCCCTACAAGATGGGACACTGCGATTAATGGGAAGGTCAACTGCCGCAGTTCGGCGCCTGAGTTGTAGAGTGCGACGAGGTCCGTCACATTGCGCGTTTGTTTCAGCCTCCACCGGGAATCGAACCCGGAACCTCAGGACTACATATCCTGAGCAATATTCACTCAGCTGTCAGGGCCCCTTTGTCTTGCCACAGCTAATGTTACTGCCACAGTTAATGTTACTGCCACAGTTAATGTTACTGTCAGTTAATGTTACTGCCACAGTTAATGTTACTGCCACAGTTAACGTTACTGTCACAGCTAATGTTACTGCCACAGTTAATGTTACTGCCACAGTTAATGTTACTGCCACAGTTAATGTTACTGACACAGTTAATGTTACTGCCACAGCTAATGTTACTGTCGATTAATGTTACTGCCACAGTTAATGTTACTGCCACAGTTAACGTTACTGTCACAGCTAATGTTACTGCCACAGTTAATGTTACTGCCACAGTTAATGTTACTGCCACAGTTAATGTTACTGTCACAGTTAATGTTACTGCCACAGCTAATGTTACTGTCACAGTTAATGTTACTGCCACAGCTAATGTTACTGTCACAGTTAATGTTACTGCCACAGCTAATGTTACTGTCACATTTAATGTTACTGCCACAGCTAATGTTACTGTCACAGTTAATGTTACTGCCACAGTTAATGTTACTGCCACAGCTAATGTTACTGTCACAGTTAATGTTACTGTCACAGTTAATGTTACTGCCACAGTTAATGTTACTGTCACAGCTAATGTTACTGTCACAGTTAATGTTACTGCCACAGTTAATGTTACTGTCACAGTTAATGTTACTGTCACAGTTAATGTCACTGTCACAGCTGTTACTGCCAAAGTTAATGTTACTGCCACAGTTAATGTTACTGCCACAGTTAATGTTACTGCCACAGTTAATGTTACTGTCACAGCTAATGTTACTGCCACAGTTAATGTTACTGCCACAGTTATTGTTACTGTCACAGTAAATGTTACTGTCACAGTTAATGTTACTGCCACAGCTAATGTTACTGCCACAGCTAATGTTACTGCCAGAGTTAATGTTACTGCCACAGTTAATGTTACTGTCACAGTTAATGTTACTGCCACAGTTAATGTTACTGCCACAGCTAATGTTACTGTCACAGTTAATGTTACTGCCACAGTTAATGTTACTGTCACAGTTAATGTTACTGTCACAGTTAATGTTACTGCCACAGTTAATGTTACTGTCACAGTTAATGTTACTGCCACAGCTAATGTAACTGTCACAGCTAATGTTACTGCCACAGTTAATGTTACTGCCACAGCTAGTGTTACTGTCACAGTTAATGTTACTGCCACAGCTTATGTTACTGCCACAGTTAATGTTACTGCCACAGCTAATTTACTGCCACAGCTAATGTTACTGCCACAGTTAATGTTACTGTCACAGTTAATGTTACTGTCACAGTTAATGTTACCGCCACAGCTAATGTTACTGCCACAGTTAATGTTACTGCCACAATTAATGTTACTGCCACTGTTAATGTTACTGTCACAGCTAATGTTTCTGCCACAGTTAATGTTACTGCCACAGTTAATGTTACTGCCACAGCTAATGTTATTGACACAGCTAATGTTACTGTCACAGTTAATGTTACTGCCACAGTTAATGTTACCACCACAGCTAATGTTACTGCAACAGCTAATGTTACCGCCACAGCTAATGTTACTGCCAAAGCTAATGTTACTGCCACAGCTAATGTTACTGCCACAGCTAATGTTACTACCAAAGCTAATGTTACTGCCGCAGCTAATGTTACTGCCACAGCTAATGTTACTGCCAAAACTAATGTTACCGCCACAGCTAATGTTACCACCACAGCTAATGTTACTGCCAAAACTAATGTTACTGCCAAAGCTAATGTTACTGCTAAAGCTAATGTTACTGCCACAGCTAATGTTACTGCCACAGCTAATGTTACTGCCAAAGGTAATGTTACTGCCGCAGCTAATGTTACTGCCACAGCTAATGTTACTGCCACAGATAATGTTACTGTCACAGTTAATGTTACTGTCATAGTTAATGTTACTGTCACAGTTATTGTCACAGTTAATGTTACTGTCACATCTAATATTACTGTCACAGTTAATGTTACTGTCACAGCTAATGTTACTGCCACAGCTAATGTTACTGCCACAGCTAATGTTACTGTCACAGCTCATGTTACTGTCACAGCTAATGTTACCGCTACAGCTAATGTTACTGTCACAGTTGATGTTACTGCCACAGCTAATGTTACTACCACAGCTAATGTTACTGCCACAGCTAATGTTACTGTCACAGCTAATGTTACCGCCACAGCTAATGTTACTGTCACAGCTAATGTTACTGCCACAGCTAATGTTACTGCCACAGCTAATGTTACCGCCACAGCTAATGTTACTGTCACAGCTAATGTTACCGCCGCAGCTAATGTTACTGTCACAGCTAATGTTATTGCCACAGCTAATGTTACTGTCACAGCTAATGTTCCTGCCACAGCTAATGTTACTGCCACAGCTAATGTTACTGCCACAGCTAATGTTACTGTCACAGCTCATGTTACTGCCACAGGTAATGTTACTGTCACTGCTCATGTTACTGTCACAGCTAATGTTACCGCCACAGCTAATGTTACTGTAACAGTTAATGTTACTGCCACAGCTAATGTTACTGCCACCGCTAATGCTACTGCAACAGCTAATGTTACCGCCACAGC